TATCTATTTTTTTATTTATTAATAAAAAAAATAAATAAAAATAAAAAAAATTAATAAAAAAAAATAATAAAAAAAATATTTAAAAAAAAACAATAAAAAAAATAATAATATCAAAAATTTCCCCGAGATACCGTTAGTTACCAAAAATTCATAAAAATTACAAATATTAAAATTACAAGTATGTATTCAAATTAATTAGTACACGAATACAACAATAACAAAAAAAAACCTTTAGCTCGCAGGTTGTATTAAACGAATTTAAGTTTAGATTTTTTTTCATTTAACAAAAGCCTAAATACATCTCTCTTATTTAAATATCTCGTCTATAACGGTCTCACCCACCGTTATTATCATTTTTGCCATACTTTTATTTAATGGATTATGTCCATATAATTGCCATTTGTTTTGTATTTTCCATTATGGTCGCTATGTTAGTTACTAATTCATTTGAAATTTTTATCTTAATTATGCTTACAATATTATTATTTTGGCGACTAATTTCTTTACATTTCATAATATTTAACTTTATCCAATTTCACGTTCTGAATAATGTGTTTATTCGAACTATTAAATTGATTATTATTTCATTACTTACTCTTGATCTGCTTGATGCATAAATTCGTATCATTCAAAAATAATTTTTGTTACTTAATTTTTTTTTTTCAACAATCTAATTTGTAATATATTAAATACGAAAGGTAGTTATGTATAAATATGCGTATCCAGGATTTTGCTAATGGGGAGGGGGGAGGCACTAATTTTTTTCCTCATAAATTTTATTGGAGATCTTTACTTTAGCCACTTATTGTAAGCCTTTAGCATTTTAGATTTTTATAAGAATAATTTTAGGTTTTCACTTTTTTTTAATATTAAAATTTTTTTTTTAAAAAATTTGAATTATAGTCGTCATTTTTAAAAAGTTATTCACTTTTACTAATTTCCTTTCAAATTCTTCCTTATAATGATATATTGTATACATTTTTTTTTTTGGGGGGGGGGGACTTTAAAATTATATTTCTTTTCATAGGCGTAGCCGGGGGGGGGGGACAAGGGGAAATCCCCCTTCAGAAATGTATCACTTTTTGTAAATATCATTTTTAGCTAATAAAAAATATCCCCCTTAGTCCTCCCCCCACTCCCTGACCCTCAAATATGTATGCATATATCTTAAATAATAATTTAAAAGAAAGAATGTAAAAGTTGATATTTTTTTATAAAACTATTCATCATAATTTATATATTTTTGGGAAAATAAATTTATAAATATGTAAAATGAACCAAAAATGTTTTTTAATAAATGGAATATAAGCCAAAGATAAGTCTTAAGACAGAAGTGAAATGTATTATAATTATTAATAATAGATCCATAAAATTACTAAATAATATAATATATCAAATATAATTTTTTATAAAGTGAGTAATTTTAATTTATTTATTTTAATAAAAGTAAAATATAATTATAAAACTATTGATAAAATTAAATCATAAATTAAAAAAATATTAAAGCACAATAAAAACAGTGGAATATTATATGTCGTAGATTTACAGTATATCTAATTATCAAATGACAATAAAGTAATTTTTACCAATATAGGGAATTATATATTTTACAGAAAACTATAAAATATTGATAAGGACATCAGAAAATATCTTTTAAAGACATTGTGGGATGAATAATATAAAGATTTATTTTAATATCATTTTTACTTAGAATAAATAGATGGCGTTAAATAATTGAATGCAAATTGTTGCTATATTTAATATCAAGAGCATTGATTAGTAAAATTTGTTAAATTATTAACTGTAATATATTCTCTAACTATCAAATATGTCTGTAAAAGTCGAATTTTACCTAGTATTTTATAACTAATTCTATATAATAGAATAAAATCAACTATATGTCTACTTACTTTTTATAAATAAATTTCTTGTAATTGTTTGAAATAAATTATTACCATGCTTTTATATTAAGGTATATACAATACAAGTAATTTATTTTATTTTTATTTTATAAAAACTAATAAAAATATATTTCATATTTGTTTCAGGCTTATTTTTTTATTAAAATTTGTAAAAATATTTTACACTAAAGTAACCCGGCCGAAGGCCCGCCCAAAAGGGGGTCTGGGGGCGAAGCCCTCAGTAATTGTTTAATTCCCCCCCCCCTTATGAAAATCCTGGCTACGCCTATGTTTCTTTTTCTTTAAAATGTCGCTCAACTTTAAAGCAAGCAGAAATAAATTACAAATTTTATTCAGCTCTGGCTTGCAGATTGCCCATATTTTTTAGTCATTACCCGACTATATTGAATAGATATTGTTCGAAATTCAAATATCAAATCTTTGAATCTTAGTATATAATTCAAATACTTGCAGCATAATAAAATATTTTATTTTTCAAAACAAAAAATCTATAATAAATGATTAAAAAAATGATATAGTCTTTATTATATATATAATTATAACATATCATTTTTTGTGCATACTAAAATATATAAAAAAGGACCATTATAAGAAATGGTTAATTAACTACAAAAATGATATAAAACAAAGATTATTATATTAAAATAATAGACTAAACTTAGAGTTGTTATTGGGAAATTTCTCGGACCTATTATTTTCATCAATCCGGATCGTGATCGAGATCATTTTTAATGAACATCCTTTCATCCTTTTAAAATATTTTTTACTTTTTATATTTATAAATAAAATAATTTTTTTTAAAATAATCGTTAACTTTTTTAATTCCTAAATTATCAATTGGAATCACTGCCCATGCTTCCAAAAGAAGACTAGGAGCTTTTTATTTATATTGAAAGCGATGGTAAAGAAAAACCTATAGCGTTTGCTTCAAGAGCATTAAAAGCAGAGTTAAATTATACGAACATAAACTAGCGGTCATCTTCGCTATAAAGAAATTTCGAGAATAAATTGGATCCAAATTTACAACGGATCTGTTGTCTTGACCTATTCATGTTAATAAGAATAATAAAATCACTACAATTTCGCGAAGCAGAACTATTAATGTAAGTGAAAAGTTGGTATAAAGTACTTGGAAAAAATAGGTGGGAGAAGGGTACGATTAAAGACAAACAAAGTGACCTTTTATATGATATTGAAACAGGAGACGACATAGTTAGACGACATTTAAATCAAGTAAAAAAAAGTCAGATGATATTGATACAAGCAACACCAATAATGATCAAGATAACTCTACTAAATTATTTTTTAGAAGGGGATATCATAGCGTAAATGATATGTCGACACCAAAACCGGTAAGAGGGGAAAATATATCCAAACGTGTTACAGACTACATTATGTGTGTTGTTTTCTTTATTTATTATGATAACTAATAAAAATGATAATGATAATGATAAATAACGAGAACAACGACTAGTAACAGATTAATCTACAAGAATCACGGAACTATCAAGATCAACAAGCCAACGATATGTTGACGATACTCTAAATACAGAACTTTTTAAGCCTTGCACATTGAATTAATCAAAGGAGGTTAAATATTCCTTTGGCAACATTGATTCCTTTTGTTTTATTAGTTTTAAAGTTCTTTTATTTTTATATAAATTGAAATGGAATATTATTGTAATTAATTTAATGTTTATACTAAGTTTAGGTTTCTTTTATTATTATTTTGATTATTTACGAAACGTGTAACTTGAAAATTATTTTCTTTTTTAGATTATTGTGTATTTTGATATTGATGATTTTAGGGAATAATTTGTTTTATAATATATATAAGAAATTATTACAAAATTTGCTTTTCTTTTGAATTTTGAATTACTGATTAAAATTATTACAATATGATCACTTTGTTATATAAAAACACAACCCCTTCTCCAAGTTACTATGTATAACTAATTTCGATACTATTCAATTTTAGAAATTTTTTTATTTTGTTTTACCATTAAACTAAATATATTCTTATTAAGCTATACATTTAGCCTAAGCGTTAAAATTAGTTCGTTTAAAAGGTTAATGCATAAGACAATGTCTTGATATGTAATTCATACAAGATTTTGAAAACATAACGCAATTCAAAATAATAAGGTTTAACTATTTTACTTCTTTATCAAATAAATCGAAAAGAAAAGTAATATTTATAAAGATCGTAGAATCATTGGCGAAAAAGATGAATATTATTTTTGAATCGCAATTCAAAATCCGATATTTAAGACTCAGGCTAAGGCTAGGCGTTATTATTTTAATTTTGCTTATAACTGTTTTCTCTTTTTTAATTAGAACTGATTGATGAATTAGTATGTATTAATCAAGATTACATATTTGCACTATATTCAGACCAGAAAATTCTCATTGAAAAAATATTTGTATTATACAAATCCTTTTTAAAAAAAATTTTGTCCTAACATTAAGAGAGATTTCTTTTGGTTCTTATTTATTAGCAGATAAAAGATCCTCAATGATCGAAAAACTTTTTCATATTGCATTTGTCACACTGCTTTAATTATTTTATAAGCGATTTTTTTTATATGCACGATGTATTTTTTTCCCAATTGTAACTTATTCTCACACTATTTGCTAATTGTACATTATTATAATTATAGAAAATAAATATCATATAAGGTCTAAGAAGCGAGGCATTCCTCAAACTCCTTGGGTATTTTTTTCCTTTTTTGCGGCTTCTGATATCCATCTTTATTTTATTTCTAAATGATAACAAACATTTTTCTATACCCTATACTCAGTGAATAGGTTTCTAGTGGAAGAAAACAAAGTCTTGTTGTCTTTTACAACATCAGTTTATATAATAAAAGACCCACTGATGGGGTATTCAAGTATTATGCTTATTCTAGATATTGTTTAATACGATTTAAGAATATGATTATTATTAGTTTCAATTACTAATCGAATGCCAATAATGAAATATTCGATTATAAAATAGGAGAACTACAGGCACAAAATAATGAAGTTGTATAATTCTTTTGGTCAATATTTTCTTTGTTTAAATATATTATTTTATAGACCACATGTGACCAAATTATATTAAAGCGTGTACCTCTTCACTACACTTCATTATTTCAACACGTTGGTGTAATATCATCTCTAGAAGGAAAAATTCAAAATTTAAAAGTAAAAAATGTTTTACTATATTAAAGTTTTATTCTATCGTTTTTAATCAAAGTAATTTAGTTTTATTAATTCCGTCAAGCAGTGGCCCCTACAACGGGGGAGGGGGGGATCCTAAGCAACTGCTTCTAAAATTTTTAGTAGGGATATATTTTTTTATTTTCTTTTTACTTCACCCATACATAACCAAGTGATTTATGGTTTATGATATCGGACTCCATATCGTGATTCCAATACATATTAAATTAAATAATAAAGGGGGGGGGGAGTCTTATTACATTTTAATAAATTTTGGTCTATGTTTAGCAAATTAAATTGTTATCCGAGTCTTGTCATAAAATTCCCAATTTCAAATATGCACAAAAATATTAACCAAAAAAAATACAAATGTTTATTTAATAATTGCACATGACATTTATAAGAGATGATAAATGGACAGACCACATTAGAAAAAGATATGAGAATGTGTGGATAATAACCGTTCTATCATAAGAAAAATAATAAGATTAGGTAATTTAATATCTTGTAACCAAGCCTTCTGGGAGTACAGGTAGTAAGAAGGCAGTCTTATTAATCATTGCAGATTGTGGACCTATACTCAAATTGTATATACAACAAAATGAAAAAAAATAAGGTATTAAAATTGAAATTATATTCTAATCTATTGTTGTTTAATAACATAAATATTCTCATTGAAACCATGAAAAATATGGGTATAAAAAAAATCATAAAAAGATAAATTTAACAGGTGCTTTTCAATTATAGTTGAGGCACATATGTTGTTTCGAAATCAGAAGCAATAGCTTTGTTAGTAAGATATGTAAATAATGAGACCGGGAAATACAACTTCGATATTAAAAAGAATTTAATATCCAAACTTGGCTCTATGAATCTACCCCTCTAATTCCTAGTTGGGTAAAGCTATGGCGCCACAAACATGAGTGGAAAAATCAATGGAATGCAGGCTTTGTTTAGAGCAGAGGCGCAAGGCAGCTTTTATTTGGTGCTATTGTCATCAACAAAATTTAATCATTGTTCAATTATATCAATCAATAAAAAACTGCGGAATGTTTTAGGAATATTTTATATATATTTTTAATGGTGTTAAAAGATATGTGGTGCTCAAAGCATGTCAGAGAATGTACTGACAAAATCGCAACGTTTTACCCATCAAGAATATTTGTTTAGATTTAAAATATTTTATATTTATACAAGATGGCTATCAGAGTTGGGCAGGTTATCCGAAAAAAGAATCTAGATACAGATACAGATTCTTTGTTAAAAAAGAATCATAGATACAGATACTAGTATATTTTTCAAAATATCAAAAAGATACAAGATAAAAGATAATTGTATCTTTTGCCTAATTAGAGTATCTTAAATACAAGATACTCTTAAATTATTATTATCAATTAATAGTTTATAAATTACAGTTTTTATTATTTATTTGTGAAGAACATAACATATGTGTAAATATGAATGAATATTTACAATAATTAATAAAATATTTAATGATGAGTTAATTATAATAATCAGGTATTTTAATATTAGTAATAAATAGCCCATTCTTAGCATAGATAGGGAAGGGAGACTAGTATTTTTAATGGGAGTTGAAATATTAATTTGCAAAATAGTATTTAAAATAGATTCATTATTTTATAAGATAATCAAATTTTTCAAATAATTTATCATTAGATTGTCTTTGTGCAAAACTAAATTATCTTTCAATTGGAGCTGAATTATATTTATAAAAAATTTCCTTAATGGAAGGATAATTTAAGCATTTATAATGTATTTCTACTTTCTTTAATATAATTAAAACCTTCAGTTCAATGTTATTTGTAATATTGAACTCAGAAAAATTTGTTTTACTAAGAAAAAACTAATCATCATTTTCTTTGTTAGATGTTAAATCTATCGGTGTTATAGTTTGAACTTGTATATACTCTGGTTCTACATTTAGGGCTTATTTTATTAATATATTTTGAAAGTATTTGCTTTTATCATCTAACTCAATCCATTAAAATATGGATGTGATATTGATGTCAAAAAGCCTCATAATATTCAAATCATAGGAAAATATTTTCTTAAAATCTATTGCCTATGCTACCTTAGTCAGCTTTTAATAAAGGTAGCAATATTGTAAGCTTAAATATTTAAGATATATGCCCCTTTTAACCACACATAAATATAAATGTTTAACAAAATTTGTGTTCAAATTTATCATTTTTTTGTTTATACAGGTTTTACATCTAGCCTGTACTGTACGTTGTCTTTTTTAACTTTTATTTTAAAAAAATTTCCATATAAAATTTTAAGATTTGGATATGATTCGGGGAATTTATTTCCATAATTTAAATTTTACTACCATGAGTGCTAATCATTCTACAAATTAAAAAAATGTTACATAAAATTGGATTGATATTCATCGAGTTACATTTATATATAAAATATAATCTTTTTTTGGTGTTATATTTTTATCTATCTACCTTAATATGAGTATTTTCCAGCTAATTTTGATTGTCATTATATTTAAAATATGGTGAAAACAAAATAAGGAAATTAATACAAGATTCTCGAAGAAAATAAGATATATACTGTGATATGTAAAATTTTAAACATGAATATTAAAAAGAATCTGTATCTTTTGTCAAGAAAATTAAAATTAAAAAGATACAAGATTCTTTTCAGAATAAAGTATCTTAGATACAGATACTAGTATCTTATTAAAAATGTCAAAAAGATACTGAGTACAAGATACAAAAGGATCTTGTATCTTAGATACAAAAGGATCTTGTATCTTAGATACAAAAGGATCTTGTATCTTAGATACAAAAGGATCTTGTATCTTAGATACAAGTATTCGCGGTACTGCCCTACTCTGGGTGGCTATCATATAAAGCGATTGTAAATTTTTTTCTATTTTATGATGCCTTGAGGGTAGCTTTGACAAATTTAAAGATTCTGAAGATCTAGCCACTTCCACTATAGCTAGTGCTATAATCTTTAGAATAGAAAAATTTTATTTTATCACTTTGTGGATAAAATATTGTTGAACAAGCTTGGCTTGTACAAAATTGCTAACCATTTCGAAGGATATAGAGTTTGCAATAAATCAAATTCAATTGGCAAAAGATTGCTTGATTAATTTGAGAAGTATAAATTAAATTAATGTCTTTTATTGTTTTATAATCCTAAAAGATAATAACACTTAATTTTTGGTATTTTTCCAAAGGCACAATATTTTATGAAGGAGAGAAATCTACATTTTGATTTTGAAAGTTCTAGACTTCAAACATTACAATTTAAAAAGAAGAGGTATATCTATACTTTCATTATTAAATATAATATTTTAATTTAGCTTTAAACCCAGTTTTATGCTGCACTTGATTTGATTATTATGTAGTTTAATGAAAGATTTAATGATGGACGAATCGATGAAATTTAAATTAAACCTCAATTGGAAAAGTCAATCGTTAAAGATGATATCGAGGATATCTGTGAATTTTATCATTTAAATTTAAGTCAAATTTTTGAAGAAATGTTTCGAAATATTTATAAGATGGCTAAAACGAGGGATATAATTATTACACATGACCTAAAGCATAAAGAATATAAAGAGTTGTCAGATTCTGAGAATTGTAAATTTATTTTACTAATAACACATTATTTAGCTTCTTCTGATGATAATTCTGAGACTTATGATTCAGATTGGAAAAACTATTGGTTTAATTTACCTTTTGTCTACTTTAAATTTTTTCTGCTTTCCTTAACAATTTTATATAAATATGTATAAACATTCCTACTACCTCATGTTCTGCCGATAAGGTCATGAGTAAAACTAAATTAATTAATCAAGCCTTCGTAGCACCATGAAGGATCCATTTCTTTATAATTTAATGGAAAAATATTTATTTAAACAATTAAACATTGATGAAATTATAAATTATTTCGCTTTCTCTTCCCCTAATTTATCCAAATTTTTAATTTAAAAATAATATTTTTAAAGAATATATTTTTTACATTTTATTTATATTATATATTAAAGAACGATGCAGTAAAAATTATTTTTGAAAATGGTGTCAAAAAATAATTAACTATTTTTCGAAGGGGGATGGGGGTACTTTTCAAGGGGGGGGGGGGGGGGATTTCTGCTTCCATCGCTCAGAAAGTGCAAAGGCCACTGCTGTCAAGCTGTAAATATACATTTTTATCCCTGACTAAGTTTGATTAATTTTTTTCAAGTTTAAGACAAATGTCTTATAAAATTCTATGTCATATATTATTTATAACTATTATCTTTACTTTAATTAACACAAATTTATTCGAAGGTACAAAAATTTGGAGAAAGTGTATTTTATTTGCTCCACACTAACCCGGAGGCCCTGGTTAATACGACCCTTAGAACGTATAAAAATCACAACATAGAGAATACATACAACAGAAAATCTTACTTTTGGGCCGAGGAACCTAAGAAAGGAGACATTATTCTCATACAAATGAAAAATCCAGTTTCGATTAAAAGGTTTTTAAAAAAATAATAAATTTCAAAATTAAATAATTTTTTGGCTACTTTTTTAAAGATTTTATCGTTTAACCTATTGATAGATGCAAAAAACCTGAATAAAGATCTTCATTTGTTGTTTCATTCAAAAACACTGGTATTCATTATTGCGGTATAATGAGGTATAGTTATATATTTATCAGAAACCTGCAGATACCATTTCCACTTCCTGTATTTTTTTCGGCTTTTAAACTAGAATTTCCACCCGGCCTGGATTTTTGAATTAATTTTTTAGTTATTTTTATAATGATGGTGATTTAAAATATTCGGCTCTGCTCGGGTAAAAAAAAATTTTAAGCCCGGCTCGGTTACATTAAAAAAAAATTAAAATACAGCCCGGCTCGGGAGGTCTCTGATATTTATATAGTATTATTCTATCTAGTAATTTGAGGGGAATTTTCAGTTAGTTCTAAGTACATTATGCTGAATTTAATTAAATTTCGACATCATTTACCAAAAATAAAACAAAGGATATTCATCAAATCAGGTCATGAAGTGCACACGATGGACCGATTATACAATACTACCCTGGAAATCAAATTACTCAACAATAAAGATCCAATGCCTAGTTCTCCCTCTTATTTGTTGCCCCGAAACATCGATATGAATTCTGTTCAAAGGTTATCTCGATACACAAATTCATATCGCCAAAACGATCAATCTAAGCTCATATTTGAAGATTCAAAGGAATTTTCAAGTATTATAAAGGAATCCTTGCAGGAAGGGTTTTTGGTTATAGGAATCATCGATTTTATGGGTTCGATCGATATATCGGTTCCCGAGTTATTGGCCAATACCAATTCTACTCAGGATTTTAAAGTTGATGAAGTCAGGCTCAAAATACATTATCCTAGCACATTTTGGGTCACTATTACCGAAGTAATTCAGTGTTAAATTAATACAATATAAATTACCTAATTTTTATTAATTAATATTTAATTTTTACATTCTTTACTAATCATAGCTTGATTATTATACAATTCTAACTCCACTTTTCATCGAAATCAATTTGTATTTATTGAAATATAAATATTATGATTTCAGTAGCGAAGATTTATTCAAGAGGTAATTACCAAGTTATTATTTTGAGGAGGGAGGGTGCTTTACCTCTAACCCCTCCTTTTCCCAGCCTTTGGCAGGGTTCGGTCTACGAAAAATTCTGAAAAGGCATTTTTTATTTTCCCCTGGTTATATTTATTTTGCATCTTCAAAATATATCATCTCCGTTAAAATTGGCTGAAGAATTGGAAGCATTCTAAAATCTATACAAATAGGTTTATTTGTGCCTATGAGTTCTCTAATCAGTAGAGCATCCATTATAAAGGAAAAATTATTAGTAACAGAATTTTGACCAACTTTACTATTAAAAAGCCACTGAAAGCATTTATTTTTAGTTGATTGTATTTTATTATAATCTGTGTAGATAGTGTAAGGAAAAAGAAGTTATCATCAAAATAAGATTAAATTAACATCATATCAGAACGGATAAAAGTTTTAAATATTTGGTTTACCTTAATATTTAATGCCTTACTTATTAATTCTGCACTCAATTTCGCCAACCACAAGAAAGTAACCGAATTATGTGCTAAATAAAAATTATGTTATCACAATTTTAGTGTAAAGTCAGTCACACTTCTGGAGGCATTAACTCTAAAACTTATATCAATAATTAATGCATATTAGAAGATTTAATGCTTCAACCAAAGAAAAAATCATTATTGGAAAAATTATAAAAAATTGCCAAGATTCGCATTATAGAACAAAAATGATAAAAACACTGAATATCAGGGTGCGCCAATATGTAATGCCTGATTAATACTTACTAATTCAGAAATTAGTTCAACCAATAAACAGAATCTAGTTATAAGCAAAAAAAACTATAACGAGACGCCTTAGGCTAAAGCGTAAATATCGGACTTTAAATTGCGAAAAATCAAATTCGTCTGTTTCGCCGATGATTCCACGATCTTTATATATATATCATTTATTTTTTTTATTTAATAGATATTTTATTTAGTCATTTAAATTATATTTTAAAAAATTAATTAAAAATAACATATAAACTATTTATAAAATGACATATAAAACTATATTACATGAAAGAAACTAAATTTAAAAGAATGTAAAATTAATTATATAGATTTAATAATTGAGTTACCAAAAAGGAATCCTAATTATATCCTTTTAATTTATTTTTTGCCTTATGCATAAAAATTCATTAGCCTTGCAATTTTACCGCCTACTTAAATAATTGAGTGTTATTGGCGAATAAATATAAAGTGTTAAAATCTATTTATTTTTTAATCTTTTTGGTTTCGGCTTAGATTAGCGGGTTGACGTTGGTGTTTAAAAGGAATAAATAGATGCAAAAGAGTCCCTTATTGGTTATTTGCCAAGGGCCCAAGGGATATGTGTCTTATCGTCAGGTTTTAATCTACATGACCACTAATTCGTTAGCTGAATGAAGGACTTGGATACGAATTAAGGATGGATTGGCTGATATAACTGGAAGTTGAGTATTAAAAGTGTGATTGTTATGAGTGATGATTAATGAAAAGAAGTGTTTGGTAGAATTTTATTCTATTTGTTGGTTGCTTCAAATAATAAACGGTTGGTGAGGTATATGGTTTTTAAAAAAATCTGAATGATAAAATGATGATAAAGATAAAAGATCGAGTGGAAAGAAATATAAATCATCTGATTGAGAAGATATAGGAGGTTGACTAATTGAATAAAATTTTTAAAATTTTTCTACAAATATTTTGAATTTGACCTAAATTTTAAATATAAAAATGTAGCTTTTAAGGAAGGATGAGAAATGAACGGAATATATGTAAAAATTTAGGTGTCTATAAACATTTATATATTAGGACATGAATATTCGCTAATGGAGAGCATAATAGGGTTTCTGTAATTATTTTGTATCCTACTCTATGAAGTCCAATTCAAAGCTTGATTTTATTTAAAGTATTAATAATATATATAAATCACCTAAAACTTTACATATAATACTTATTATTATAATGGTAAAATGTTCTTCATGTCATAATAACACATTCCTCATAACGTTCGAAGAATTTTGATAAAGTCAAAATCAACTGATTATATAATTTTCATATTACATAAATTTTTGCTGTCTTTAATGTAATTACTGTGGTGTAAGGCAATAGTTAGCTATCTCAATATGGAGTAGCAAGAATCATCGAAGGGTACTTTCGAGAAGAGCCATATGCGATGTTGATATGAATGAATTGTATTTTTTTTGATATGTGATGTTGTTATGAACAAATATATTATGTTTTGATTATATTATATGAATAAATGGGAAACAAACATCGAAGTAGTATAATACTTTAGATATCATTTTTACAGAACAGAAAAACTTGAGATGTCATTCTTTAGCTGCAAAATATGGAATTATATTATTATTAAACAGCTTTCAAATTAATAAAATAAACCTATGATATTCTTATACAACAATATATTTAATTATTACAAGCCTTTATTTTAAAATATCTAAAAACCTTTCAAGGCCTTCATCCTGGGTGGAAAAAATTTATTAGAATAACTTATTTCATTTTTATTAACATGGCCCTCTGCTTATTTTCTCAAACCATACCTGATAAAATCTAATTTCTTCAAAAAACCATAATTAACCATGATAATGATAACTTTTTAAGCAGTTTTTTAGGATGGGGAAAAAGGTCTTATTATAAAACTTCTTCCTAGTGTTGCAGAAATCTCCTATTACATTTTATAAGACTTTAATATATCAAACTATAGGACAATTTGTTAACATTTCCTTTTAAATGTATTACACTTCAAATCCAAAGATATATGACCGATTTCCTATTTAAAACACAAAATTATTTTGATCAAATGTTACTATTGATGTTCTCAAATTAACTTATACTGATAGTAAATTAGCTCCTGTCAATGTTGTGGCTCTTTAATAATACTCACTCTCCTGCCTCCTACACTTCATTACCACCAGTACCTTTGGCCAATATTATCATTTACTCTAGACAATCATTTAGGCCATCAATTTCTTTAACAAATTCTCAGCTGCTGGTCTCGGCGCTTTTGGGCCATCTCATTTGCAATTTCTCTTGAAATCGAATTTTCACCTTAAAGATACATTCCGTAATACTTTTAAAACATTTTTGAACAACTTAAAGAATTGCCTATAAAAATCCATCAAATTATATACGGAGTCAATCTAATTGTCTTACAAAAATCTGATGGAGGAATCTGCCCCATAGCCATAGACTCTCTCTTTAGGATTAATAACCAAAATGTCAAATTGGACTTCAAAAATGCTTTTAGCAGTTTGTTTCATGACCATTTTTACAAAAAGTTTATAAAAAATTGCCCGATTGCTTTAAATTTTTAGAAACATGTTATGTCATAACTTCTCTCTTATTTAGCACAAATTTTATAGACTCTGATGAAGGCATCCAACAGGGGATTCACTTGGTCCTCTCCTATTTTACCTTGGTATTCATGATCTCCCATGATTTTAAATCTCAATTTGATTTAAATTTAAATATTTAGTACCTTAACGATGAAGCAGTCTGGGGTCATCTTCCTAAAGTAATCGGACTTTTAAACTTCCTTGAGGTTAATTCTAAAAATATAGGCCTTAATCCTAAAAAAACGAAGACAGAAATTTGTTTTCTAGATAACAATAAAATTACTTTATCTGGCTACAAAATCGTTAAACTTAGCCTAACACTTATGAGCCCACCCTTATCTAACATTCCTCTATCCGAAAATCTCTGTCAAAATACTTGACATCATATTTAGCGTGGATCCAATCCTAAACATTCTTACATCACAGCTTCTCCATAATTCGCAATTATATTCCAAATATTATATTTCTTATTTTACGTAAAGAATTTATCAAACATTTGGAGTTCCTTATTTAAAACCTTTTTGGGAAATTTAATTTAACTCAATTTAATTGGATTTGCTCAATCCTGGTAAAATAAATGGCATCGACCTATTATTATCCCTGCATACTCTGGCACTCTTCGCTTTCCCTGACTATGAAACAACTCGTTATTATCCTTAATCTCCCCTAGATAGCTTACTGGATCAGGCCCTTGTAATGTGGCAGAGCAATGTTTTGGCACAGCTTTTCCTGATACAAATAAATCACATGAATATCTTTTTACCCTTAATTTCAAAATCCTACATCCACTTCCTCTCCCCCTGAAGTAATCTATCTCTTTCTTAACGATGATAAAATAGGTGTACATGAGCGGGTGGAAGTTTTGCCTATCAAAAACTTAGGGATTAACTAATGAAAGACTTGGCCGCGACATAGTCCAACCTCATAGTTGCCTGAATTGATTGTAACCTACCAGATAATGCTAAGCGGACATGGGCTAACTTGTATTAAATGCCAGGGCCGTCAACAGCACCATTTGCCAATAAATAAACTTCTCCGCCTATTCCTTAAAAAAGCTCGAATCTCTAATATCGAACCTCGTAACATCTCGTCAAATGATGCCCTTAGACCTGATTCCCTCACAACTATCTCATGGGCTATGGGTAAATCATTTGTCTGGGATTATACCTGTGTTACCATTTTCCCCACAAATATCAATAGAAAAACACTCAGGCCAAAACAAAAAAGATAAATATTACAAAATTTACTATAATTCCCACATCCCAGTTGGCATTTTGCCCCTAACACCTACCTTTTTAGAAAACCTTAGTCCGTGAAATACGAATCCATACATTGGAGGCCTGAGAATTCCTTTCTAAAGACAAAAAATAAAAATATTAAATATAATTACTGTGCTTTTTTTGGACTCAATTATGTATTTCATAATTGTGCCCCCCCCCCTTAGACATAATTTTGTATTTATATCGTTTTTTATAATATATGCATGTGTTCCTATAAAGCATGGGAATTAGTTAAGTAAATAGTTAAAATTTAATTATATTTTGAATAGAGTTATATTTGAAAAATTTGACATTAATATGCAGTCCTAAACATTTTACCAAACTTTTGAAACACTAATTCTAAAGCTTAGGCAATGTCTTATACTTAATGGAATACATTTTAGTATGCGTCAATCCGTTTTATAAACATTTGTATTAATGATAATAAAATTTTTTATGTCCATTGAAAAATTAATGCACCTATAGTATTGATTATTGGGATTTTTTAAAATAGAAGGTATTTTCTGATGTAACATTATATAAATTCTTGAGATAAGTTCATATAAATTGGGGGAGGGGGTTTATCAATGCAAAAGAAATGATAGCAAATATCTTGATATCAATATAAAAGTATTATGAACCCCCCCCTCCCCTCTTGTTTGTGGATACTCAAATTGTTTGAATAAATCTTAAATTATTTTAAACATTTTTTTATTAACAGATATATATCGAAGAACAAAAGAAATAGAAGAGTTAGTAAAAATCGATAAAATTATAATTGTGATTTTCAGTAAATCTTTTGTAAATATAAAAAAATATTTCATATAAAATAAATGCATGAACAAATTATATTTAGAAATTTCATACTGTAGATTTATTTATTGTAACCACATTATCTTATTTTATTAATAATTTATTGATATATTACGGCGCAAAAAGCATGTTATTAAGATCTCTGAAGATCGTTGGTCAAAAAAATTCTTAAATAAAAAAATCATCATATTTTACGATCTTCAAAGAACTTGATCTTAAAAAATCGTTGCTCAAAATTTTTTTAAAATAAAAATCTTTAAATTTTACGATCCTCAAAGATCTTGCTCAAAAATCTTCTTTGAAGATTTTATATATAACTACTATTTTTTTATAATATTTTTGGCAACTCTTTTTATAGATTTTGTTATAATATGTAAATAATTACTAAATTATGAAGATTGGTTTTGCACAGACAATATACTAGATAAATAATTTTGAAAACGCGTGATTAATTATAGATATTTAATACTTTATAGTTATTCACTTTTTAATTTTTTTATATTTTTCTTATAATTTTTATTTTGTTTATACCTTTTACATTTCGGAGTCTAATTATGATTATTGGATGAATAAAGATCATTATAGGGTATTTAATTTTAATATATAATTTTATCTATTTAGGTTAATAACATTTTGTTTCAATTTTCATACCCTTTATTATTCAATTATCATTTTCTACAATGGTGCTCATATTTACAGATTTTTATCTTTATTTGTATATACACTATATTTTCTTATACACTCATATAGTATAAATTTTTAAAAATAATATTGCTGCATTTATCACAAATATTTTCTATTAAAGAATAAATTTATAGCAAATTAGTTTGTGTACACAATTAAGGACCTTTACTTTTTAATGTATTTCTTAATTGGTTAATGAACTTTACTTTAATTCTATTTTAATTAGTTATATAAATAGACAGACTTTTTGGACTTTTTATTTAATTAATTAAAATAAAATCAAGGTAAAGTATGTTAACAAATTAAAAAATATAAAAAGTCCAAAACTTGTTTGTGACTATTTGAAAAAAACGTTTATGTTTTTAAAAAAAAAGAATATATATATATTTTTCTGTGATTTTAAAACTAAAATATTTAGTGTGTTTATGTGTGTCTATTTGTATTTTAATTAAAACAAAATCAAGGTTTCGTTAAAAATTAAGAATATAAAAAGTGTGTCTATTTATTTAACCAAATCAAAATAGAAATTAAAGTAAAGTTCATTAACCAATTAAGAAATATATTAAAAAGAAAAGGTCCTTAAAAGTGGTGCCGTAAGAAATAAGATACCTATAATTATAAAAAAGGTTATTCGGCATAACAACATACTACCATCTATACGAAGGCTAAAAAAATTTTAAAAAAAGGCAAATTCATAATCAAAGTTAAAATATTTTTTTTATTAAAATTAATGTATTGTTTAATAATTATTTTAACCAGAGACCTGCAGAGGTACCATTTGTACGGCTCGGCCCGGCCCAGATTAAAAAATTTTCGGCCCGGCCCGGATTTTTTTTCCAAAAATTTTTTACGGCCCGGCCCAGGTTTAAAAATTTTGGGGCCCGGTAGATTTAAAAAAAAATTTTTAGGCCCGGCTCGGAATTTTAAAAATTATATTCGACCTGGTATATTTCATTATTTCGTATTTTATCATATTTTTCGGCGAATATTATCATTTAATAAGCAAGTATATTAGCTAATATTGTTAAACGGCTCGTTTTGAGCCCATTTTAAAAAACGGCTAACTCAATATTTTCGCCAGAAAAATATTGACTAAGCCTCGAAATTTCGCTACTATATGTCTAGACATTTGCTCCTTCTATGAGCAAAATTTTCAGGCTTGCATAATATTTTTCTGCATAAAAAACTTAGTTAGCCGTTTTTAAAAATCGTCTCAAAACGAGCCGTTTAACATTTATTTTTTTATATTCTAAACAGATATTTAGTATATTACAAATACTATGTATTTATAAAAAAAATAAAAATGATATTTTTAATAAAAAATATAACATATATATTATATATTATATAATAATGTATTTTATACTTTGCGTATTTATTCCATGGCAGGAAAACTATAATTTTATTATGTAATAGATACTATGAGTGTTAGCTAGTGTTAACTTTCACCAAACATTATATTAATCATAACTATATATAATCATTATAACCATATCTAATTCACGAAATAATAATTCATGCTATATAAATTTTTTAAAAAAATACGGCCTGGCCCAGTCCGGGTATATTTTAAAAATTTTAAATACGGCCCGGTCCTGGTACCCAGGCCTGGCCGGGCCTCCAGGTCTCTGATTTTAACAATAATTGCATTAGCATTTTTTTTTCATTTAAAATTGTAAAGATTATTTTAATAAAATTATTAGTAAATTTACTATAAATATACAAAATTTAAATTTAAAATTAAAAAAAAATTGTAAGGTGTAAGTTAAATTATTAAAAAAAATGTTCAACAGGAAGAATATAAAAACGTATAATTACGTTGAAATTAAAAATATATCTCAATTTAAGTGTTTATTTAGAATTAGCCTTAATTCTAATATTATGGATTATAATTTATTTTTGGTATAAAAGAAGAAATATTAATAAAGAGGCAAATAAAATAAGATTAATAAAACAAATGGATATGGGAAAAAATGAAAATCTGATAAATTTAAAAAAGAAATAGAAAAGTTATATAAGAAAATATATATAATGTAAAAGAATGAAATGTTAATAACATTATTTTAATGGTTATAAACCATACATCATAAAACAAATGACATGTATAAAAACTATAATAAAAAATATTTCATATCTTTAGCGAATCTGAAAAGAGAAAATTTGGAATTATATTAATAAACCAGATATCGTTAGAGATGCTGAAAAAGAGAAAATTGAAAAGGAATATAAAAATATTGGATATGAAAATAATGAAATTGAAATAATAAATAGGATAAGATAGGGTAATAAAAGAAATAGATATTGAAAATATAAAAAAAGAAGAAAATTTAGAAAGGGAAATAAAGAAAAGAAGGAAATGCTTAAAAAAATTGAAGAAATGGAATGGGAAATTAAAAAATTGAACTATGCAAGTCAAGGATATAACGTAAATAATTATAAAAATCAAGGAAAATAGAAGCGGATGGTTTATTGGAATATGTTTTGTGTGTAGAAAGTAAGGCCACATAAGCAGAGAGTGTAAGGAAAGAATAAATTAAAGAGCGTCATCGAATGGAACGTGTTATAATTGTGAAAAATATGGTCATATAAGCAGACATTGTAATGAAAGAATAATGCAGAGGATTCTACCAATTATCTGTGGAAATACTGGTCATTATGCCGAAAAATGTTATGTCAGCCTTCAAAATAAAAGAAAATGAACGAAAGGTAATGCCATGTTCAAATTGTGGAACTTGATGGCTTCTATGAATGGCTGCACTAGTCCTATCACTAGGACTTAATTTGGTCCTTTTCGAATTTGTGATGACCCAGGGATCTTTCGCTCTAATAATGTATAAAAGGACATTCCTACCAATAAAGATCCTTGGGTCAGCACAAATTCGAAAAGGACAAAATCTAAAGACCAAAATAGGTTTATCAAAATCTTAACTTTTGAGCATAAAATCTGCCACAATAGATTCCTAAAGGTAGGGGATGCCAGCGTTGCCTGTCCCGTTCCTCGCCCCATTCTTCTCACCTCCCACCCACCCCTATATATGTTCACTTCGCTCATTTCATTTGTTTCACTTTATCTGGAATTAGGAGAATATGCATTCTTTATAAATAATAATATTATATATGTTTAGGAGCAAGTTATAAATTTAAAAAATTTATTTTACTAATTTTATATTGTGAATATTAAAAATGGATATGATAATATAATACCTAAGGAAACGAAAAATGAAGGAAATAATACCCAAGTAATAACTTGTTTCTGATGTAGAAATATTGGTCATTATGAGCGAGATTGTCCTGTAGCATGACTATATGGCGGCTAAGGAGCATTTGGGGTTATTACATAGGAAAACTCAGTGAATCAAAAGAAAAACTTAGCAGAAAATGAATTAAATTTTGAAAATAAATTGGGAACTAAAGGAAGAGAAGAGGAGGGTAGTAATAATTTGGTCATTAAAAATAAGGGAAATGAGTGGCCCAAGTCGAGCATACAAATTTGTAATATACCAATTTTAGTGGGGAAGAATAATATTAATTATGATGAGTGTCCACGTGTGAAAATTAATGTGGGAAATAAAGAAATAATGTTACTAGATACAGGAGCTAATATATAGGCCATAGGGTTTGAGGAATTTTATTAATTATAGCCGAATAAGGAAATAATAAATGATAAATTGATAGTAAAACAATTAATGGAGCTGAAATTTTGATTTTGGGAAGGGTAAATTTATCAGAATTAATAAAAGTGGCAGTGCATTTTTTGGATCTATTGATACTAAAAGAAGAATTTGGTGCGATTATGGTATGAGCTTGGATATCAAAATTTGGATTAGAAAATAATTTTTGGAATATGTTTAAAGTGAAAAATAAAGTTATGACAATATTGGAATACATAAAAAGCTCGTAGAAGAGGTATGTTGTAAAAACATGGAAAATAAATTGGAGAAAAATATGGTTTCAGTGAATATTAAAGTTGAAAGTATGGTAAATAATGTTGAGAGAATTCAGGGAAATTTAAAAATTGGGTGTGGTAAAATGTGTCAGGAAGATCCTGAAATTTTGGGTAATAAATATGGCATGGATATGATACATAGTCAAAATTGAGAAAATTATTGAGCTAGAAGTTGATAATATTTCAGAAATTAGTGACAAGGATTTAAAAGGGAAAAAGGCAATAAGATAACTATAAAGGAATCGGGGCTGGAAAATAGTGTATAGGAGGTGATGAAAGTTATAAGGAATAAAATTTGGAGTTTGAGAGGCTACTGGGAGTAGAAAATAAAGATACCAGAAAATATTTGGATTAGTCGGAAAATAGAAAATTTGAAAAATATAAATGTCCGGTGTTAGAAATTATACCAGAAAAATTAGTAAGGAAAAAATTTGAGAACAATGTAGCAGTGGCAGCAATTGAGGTAAAACAAAAGTTGAAGATTTTACAAAAAGCAGTGATGGATTTGGAAAATAAATATGGGG